TGCACTATCTCTAACGGACATATCTATTCTTTAGAAGACAAAATTTCAGTGACTTTATTTATTTGATATTGTAAATAAAAAAGGACGTTGTTTACAAACAAGAAAATATTTTCAATGTGCATTTAAAAAAAATCTACTGAAATAGCATGCTACTGGAAATATATTATCATCCTATCTTGCTTATTTTATCCATTTTGGTTTTCTTTTCTGCTCACGCAACTTCTGCAATATTTAACTATTTTTCTATTCTTCAATTTGAAAGTATCAAATTTCCCTTCAATATCTTCGAGTAAAACCCCCTTCGTTTCTGGACAGAACAGATAGACGAAGAGTACAGCCACGATACAAAGACCACTAAAAAGATAAAATACCCCATGTATCCCTAGTGGAGCTATTAATTCCAAGATATAAGACATAATGGTACCTGCGAACCAATTGCTTGCTGTTGTTATTGCAATAGCCTTAGCCCTAACGTTAAGAGGGAAAACTTCAGCTAAATACACAAAGACGACTACTCCCCAAGAAAGTGCATAAAAAGCTACAAAAGTAGTAGTGAAGACAAGTATTAGTATACCAGAACTTGCTTTACAACTCACAATTTCTTCACTCGCTGTGGTATTACCGATAATTGTCTTGACTACATTGCAACCTGTAGCAAAAACGGTTGCTGACACAAAATGACCAACTGTCATACCTGAACCGAAAAATATAAGAAGCTTTCGACGACCTAGTCTATCAATTAAGAACAAAGCTGGTATTGTACTTAGCATATTTACGCCAGACAAAATCAATAATGATATGATTCCCTTCCCAAGAACACTTTCGAAAATAATACCACCAAATGTAAATATAGGGTTAATGCCGGTTCCTTGGTTTAAAATATGCATGCACATCCCGATACCAAGTCTTTGACGCATTTTCTTTGTTGAAAATAATTCTTTACTTGACCCTTGATTGCCCTCTTCTTTTATAGCATCGTCAATAGCATCTAATTCAGCCGTTACATCGTCTGTCTTGCGAATGCATTTTAAACTTTTCTCGGCCAAATCTCGACCTTTTTTCTTAAATAGCCACCGAGGAGTTTCAGGACACAAAAATATGCCGATCATAGTCGTTATTGGAGCAACCAAAATAATTCCATTTGACAATCTCCAACCCCATTTATGATTTTGTAATAGGAAATTTACCACATTAGCAAGAAACAAACCACTTACTATAGTCATTTGCATGAAGGCAGAAAGCATTCCACGTAGACTTGCTGGAGCTATTTCTGAAGCGTATAATGGACAAGCAAATGAAGAGCAACCAACACCTGTTCCTTCGACAATACGACCAATAAGTATCAAAATCATCAACCTTTTAGAACCTCCCGGTAGAAAAATAACCATTGAAGTACCGATGAGAAACAGAACAGATGCTGTGAAAAGGATGGATCGACGTCCAAATTTTTCTGCTACAAATGAAGAAATAAATGCAGCACCAACAAAACATCCGACATTGTAGAGTAAAGTATAAAGTAATAAGAATCGTCTGTAGTCAGGAGGCAACGCACCTACGGGAAGATCACATACACTTTTATCACCATATAAACCAACACAAAAGTCATTTTTAAATGAACTCATGACAACAATACCGCCAGTAACACCTTGATCATAGCCAAAAAACCATCCACCCAATGAAGAAAAGGCTGCTAATATGATTGCAAAATATGGCTTTCCATACTGAACATTTCTATCCGGACGACGATGAGTTTCGCTTTCCAGCACCATTAGTCAATTGCTCGTATTGTGAAGGGTTTCGTTAACTAGTTGTATGCTTCTCCTGAATAATGTCTAAATTAAAAGGTCTACAGTAAAAGTGGAGAAAAATATCGAAAATAGAATCTCGAAGAAAATGTTGTACTTTTATGGCACGAAAATTATAGTAGGCATTGAGAGGAAATATTTAGAACACATTGGAGGAGAAGCCGGTCACAGCCAATAGCTGTAATAAAGTATACATATATAGGTTTTGTAGTCAATGTAATTGTTTTATTGTGTAAGTTATCATGAAAGTGGACAACAGTATGACTAGCAGAACTGAAGAAAAAAAAACATACTGCTTGCATCTCGTGCACTCAAGCATGTCACCAATAACTGAATTAGATAGGAATTTCTGATACATGCAAGAGCAGAATTCTATGTTAAAAATAATATGCATATTACTTTCATTGCACTAAGCAAAGATCTATCGGTCCTCGTATTAAAAGATTATTAATGCAAATGTAGCAAGAAAACATTCAAAAAAGATTCGACCAACAGGCATACACCATCGTATCAATACTCTTTATAGTTGGGCGGATTGCCGCAATGGCAACTTGTTCGTTTTTCGAGAATTGACAATATGCTCGAGCCTTCCCTCCCACATTGCCATGCTTGTATAATTCTGTTCTGTTCTACACATCTCAAACTATTCGCTCGTCGATTGTTTATGCATTCTACTCATATAACAGAATCGGTTCTACTCTGTAAACCATCGCTCATGATTCATGTTATGTTTGCTAACAGTTTTATGTGCTTTATGCTAGTGCTTTGCTTTAATTGCTTTTCATTCTGCATAAGTTACTTGTAATCAGCATTATGTCTCTTTAGGCCCGATCATGGGTAGAGGGTGAAATAAAAACGCATAAATTAAAAATATATACCCTTTAAAGCAGATATGCTAAAACTATCATCGATCAATCTGATATATTGACGGATTTATCATATGTGTTTGCAAAAGGATTAAACATGAATTAGCTCTTTGAATATTTGTGAACTTTCCTACTTATGTTGGATGTCTCAAAATATTGGCATACTTTTTATTTTGCATATATCTCAGCATGGGTAAATCATAAAATCCAGATTTTTTCTCGAAAGATGCGCCGTGAAAATCTTTACAAAGTCTACATAATGAAATCTCTATTGACTCTATGTCATGATTTTTCTTGTTGGTAAAAAGTAACAACCTACGTAATGTTACCACTTCCTAATGCATCGCGTATAACAGAAATGATACAAACGCTTTTAAAAATTTCTTCAATACCCTTGCGATGACTGACCGACTGCAATGAAAATTTTTCGATATTATTCGCAACGTTTTGGTACTCCTTGATGCAAGTTTTTTTTTCACCATATTAATTAGCCATTTAGTTCTTCTACTTCTTTTGAATGTTGGTTTTCCTGCAGAAAATGAACCAGTTTGATTATAGTGCTGTATCCACCGAAGACGTGTAGTACAATGAACTTTGTTAGTCGATAAAACTACGATTTCTGTTGTTGTCTTTCCGTTTTTATAATGAGTAATAGCAATTTTGCGTAGATCTTAGCTTTTAGCCATTTTAAAAATTTAAACAAAACTTCCTTTCTTTTTGTTGAAAAACACACTATAAAACTATACCAGCACGTCTCTATATATTTATAGAGGACGGATGGACATCAAATAAGACGAAAAAAGAAGGGAAAAAAGAAGAATAACAAAGAGAACAGAAGAAATGAACGAAAAAGGATAGGCATGGATCACTACATGATCTACTAAGTTTTGCCAACACATATTATAGAAACCAACTGGAAAAAAGAATCATGAAATAGGGTCCACAAATATTTCGTTATGTAGCCTTTGAAGAACTTTTGACGGCACCTCTATACAAAGGCTTACCCTTCTATCGTTTATCCATGCTGAGATATATGCACAATAAAAAGTGTGCAAACATTTTCGGACACCCGGCATGCTTTTTACTACTGTCGTACCTTATTCTCTTCTAAATGCGATTTTTATATTTCAAACATTAAAATAAATCTTTAATTCACAACACGACAATATTCTTTCTCGCTCTAATCTCATAAGTCGCTTTTGGTATTTCTTGTTCTGCATTTTTCTTCTTAACATATGCCTGCCATATTTTAGTTTCCACATTTCGGCTTTCGACCAGTTTCAGCTTTACGCGTTCTATATACATTCTCTCCATGATGGGGTGTAGCTGTGGATATGGAAGAGCGTGGGTTGGTGTAGGTGTGGGTTGCTGTGGGTGTGGGTGTGGGTGTGGGTGTTGGTGTGGGTGTATGCTGTGGGTGTGTGGTGTGGGTGTAGGTGTGGGTTGCTGTGGGTGTGGGTGTGGGTGTGGGCGTATGGTGTGGGTGTATGCTGTGGGTGTGAGTGTGTGGTGTGGGTGTGGGTGTGGGTGTGTGGGTGTGTGGTGTGGGTGTAGGTGTGGGTTGCTGTGGGTGTGGGTGTGGGTGTGGGCGTATGGTGTGGGTGTATGCTGTGGGTGTGAGTGTGTGGTGTGGGTGTGGGTGTGGGTGTGGGTGT